TTAGGGTTAACAACCCTATATGGCCTCCACCATCCAAGTTCTTAAAAACTATTCAGATTAACTTAAATTGATTTCTCTCTTAACAAAAAGAACTTGAAAATAATTTTTTAAGGACCAATATGTGTCCAAATCGATATGCTACTCAAGCATACGAGAAGACATGGAAGTAATTTTCCAAATATTTCTCATATAAAATATAATATGCTAAATATTATATCCCTCTACTTTGAAGGTGAATATAACATGGAAGACAATCTCTATAAGAACACCAAAGAAACATTTTTGAGTTTGTGAAGCTCTTCCAAATTCCAAATTAAGTTTCAATCACCTTAAAATGATCAATATCTCCAAAAATGTCCAAAAATAACTTATATTCAAATTTAACCAAATAAAGGCCTTTATGATTGTCATTCCATATCACTAATCTTCATGAGATGAATCAAAGAAAGGCACAACCAAGATTTTTCCACTTGTTGAGACATCAAAGCATGAATTAGAATTGAATTTTGAGTCTTAGTTCTATTACACATCAAATCATGGATTTTCATATGATTAAGACGAAGACAAGGACAATTTCCAACAAAGTTATATTAATTTAGGATCTTGAATCTAAGGTTGCTTCTAAACATTAATTCTTGAACCATTTTCAATTCTTTATCTTGTGCCTTCCTTCAACAGCGCTTGAGAATATTCATTGTATGTTAACACACACACATATTAGTATTAACTTCCATGTTAACACATTATCATTGTACGTATGTATATATATGTGTGCGTACACATGCAAATGCAGATTTGCTCACACATGTTAGTGCGAATATAAAGTAGGATGCGTATTAAGGTACCTTCGCCCATCCTCATCAATTTTTTTGGATAATCACCCATACTTGTATCCTTTGTCATTAACTAGGTAATTATCCTACACACATACATACTCATTAAGTAGGTATTTACCTTACCCATCATAGATATCTTTTGCGAGTATCCATAAGATCCATTGCACATTTTCATCCCTAAGTTTATAACTACATAGAGGTATATATATTGGTTTTGATTGAAGAGGTCTATATCATATGGCATCCTCTCTTTTGACACTACTTATGTACTTAAAAGACAAATGTATATATTGGTTAAAGTTTTGATTAACAAGTTTTTTAAGAATATTGATTAAAAATTAATCAAAAATAAAAATTAAGTAAAATTATATTAAAATAAAAATATATTAATAAATTTTTATATTAAAACTAATTTTAGTTTCGTAATTAATTAAGAATTTAAAACACATGTATTCTCTGTTTATTAATGAAATAAAGGCTACTACAGAATATGAAAAGATTATATGATAGATAATGCATGCCTATTATGATTTAACATGGAAAGGGAGTTATATTCTTAAAAAATGCATTTGTTAATGCTTTTAAAAAAGAATAGGATTAAAGCATTTGGTTTAACAAGTTTAGAAATCATTAATTGTTCTACTTTTAAAACAAGGTATACAAAGAATGAGCATTACAAGAAAATAGTTATATAGTGACACACGTCCTATAGTGACACAATACACACTAAAAACAACTTTTACTCACAATAAATATAATATATGTTGATATATTGTTAAAAAGTATGGGTATAGGTTATAGTGACACACAAAATATGTTGTTAAATCTCACTCAAAATAAATACTAAAATTGTTTGTAACTATATGTTAAATAGATATATACCTATATATATTGTACCTATAGTGACACCTTTTGTATGTCACACTATATGTAACATTTCTTGTAGGTACACACTTTTATTCAACTTTCAATATTAGTTATATCAATATGTGTGATTATTCTAAACACCCTTATATTGAGGAGGGAATTAATATATAATTCTAAAAAATTTCTATATGAAATACAATGAAGTATTATTAATTCTTTCTCATGACTTGAAAAACTTGAAGACATGTTAAGTTACATAGATATTAATTGATATTATAAACACATTGTGTTCCAAGACAACTTTATAATTTCTATATGTACAGAAAGAGAAAAAAGATAAAGTTATGCACTATCAATATAAATCCATGAAATAAGAATAAATTTTAAAATAATTATTATAAATGTCAATAAATTTATCATACAAAACAATTGTGATTAAAGAATGATAATGAATAATGAATCTTATGACAATAGTGCAAAAAAATGGATATAACATCGTGATTTAACGCTGATTATTAGGGAAATTGATGTAATAAAGGCGGTGGTGACATTTTTAGAATTTAAGTGAACTATGCTACATCGATTTCCAAATAATTGATGTAGCATATGTCTTTACATTGGTTATTAGTTTAATCAATGTATAAATGACTATTCCACATTGGTTAAACACATAATCGATGATGAATAGGTTCATTACTCGATGAATGATAGATGAATATATAACATTAGTTGCTTAGAGAGAAAGCTTAAAACCTTTAGTGTGCCACACTCAACCCTAAAACCTTATCTCTTTTTCCCCTTCGCATTCTCACAATGCTTTTTTTTTGCTTCCTATGGATTCTCAAACCACTGTTAGTGATGAGCATGGGGACTTCTAGGCCCATTCTTGTCAAATCTTCCACTACCATCAATGACTCTTTCATCGATTCTCTTTCCAATGATGCCCTTAGGCCCATTGCAAAGTCACTAACAACGGTGACGCTTTTGTTGATGATTTTGATGACATCATTTCGAACCATGACGATGTTGTTTTGAAGAAAGGTGGGGCCCTGTGGGGGTGGTTCTAATTGTTGCTAGCTTCACTTTACCCCTACTTTATAGAATGACAAGAAGGACAAGGTGGTGGGGTTTTTGTACCCCATGTATGAAGGACCCAATTACTTGAAGATACACTCACCATTGAATTTGAAAATTTTGATTGATATTTATGTCATAGAGGACTTTTTTGCGAGACAAGTAACTATTTTAAGGCATTGAAGAAGTGTGGGTGAATTGGTAAGGTGAATCTAGTAAAGTTCCTAAGAGCGGACTACGTACATCATGGATGTTGAGAAGGTTGGTGACAATGTTATTGATAAACCAATGTTGGGGAAGCATGCAATGAAAAATGAAGGAAGGCAAACATGTCATTCTATATTGATTACAAAATAACCGATATAAAATGACATTGAAAAGTGTCTGAATACTATTTCAATAGGATCTATATTGGTTGTACAACCAATGTAAAAGGTCAATTATAACCAATGTTAAAGACTTCATCTACACTAATGTAAATGCTTTTAAAATTTATGCATAATAAATAAATGATTACCCTCTTAATAAGTAAGGATAAAGACTAATAATTACCTATAAAATTTGATGGCTTTACAAAAAAATGTTACATATAATAATATACAAAAAAGTGTCATTATAGATACAATATATGTAAGTATAAATTTATTTGACATATATTTATAAATAATTTTAGTGTTGATTTTGAATGAAATTCAACAATGTACATTGTCTATCAATATATTATACTTACATTATTTAACAATTTACCAATATATATTACATTTATGATGTAGGTAAAAGTAATTTTAGTAACAAGTATTGTATTGCTATAAAATATGTATTACTACTTGACACTTTTGTCTCTCTCTTTTTTTTTTTTTTAGTTTGGGAATAGGTATAGTTACGAGTACTTCTCCAATTTCATATCTGCAGTTATATATATAAATGTGTTTTGTCTTACATATACATACATCATAGAATCAAATAGAACCCTTTATAATTGTATAGAAAAGTAGGTGAAAAATGGATAATTGATATAATGTCTTTTAACCTTAATAAAATGAATAGAATCAAATGGACCCTACAGATGAGAAACTTAAGTACTGTGGATGAATAAAATTAAAACAAGTGAATTATTTTCTTTAAGTTTAAGTTTTCTTAACGAGAGAAAACTGTTATTTATATCTCACATTAATTAGTTTTCCTTTATTCTATTTTGTGTCTGCAGCCAAACCACTTAAAGAGAGAAAACTGTCATCTATATCTCACATTTATTAGTTTTCCTTTCTTCCATTTTGTGTCTGCAGCCAAACCAGCAAAAATTAGTATGTTTTCCTTATTTTCTTTCCATTTGATTTCTCGCGCCTCTTGTTATTTAATTGTCTCCTGAAACATGTTACTCCTGTCAAAAGACTTGATTCCTCCTATCAAATACCTAACTTCAATCCATTAATTTATACCAATAATGCTAAGAAAGGATACCAGGATTCAGTTTCTATAAATATTTTTAATAATTGAAATATTTATAAGGAAAAATGAAAAGAAATTAATTAAAAAAATTAACATAATTATCCACCTCACCATTTAAAAAAAAATTCATTTAGTTTTTTTTTTAAATGCTTAAAAACTTAATAAACTTAGAAATTCTTAAGAAGATTTAATAAATTTTTATAATCAAAAACCTCTCAGCTTAAAAATTTATACAAACTGTGAAACCTTGGGAACAATCCTGTGATCTCCATTGGTCAAACTGATATGGTGGAAAAGTTGCGGTCATGTATGCATGCATTCAAGTATAGAACCAACTTTATGCTAACATTGGTTATTGCATTTATTTGTGTGTGTATCCATCTCAGCAGCCACCTTTTCATTATATACTTTTTCTTCAAGAACAGCATAAAGCTCTGCAACCCTTTCTGCCTTTGCTGCATGCACATGTGACTACCTTTCGAATAGAGTAATATTATTTATATTATAAAATAATTTACTCAAATTTTATCACTTACAAATTTTATTCATTTATTATTCATCACAAGTTTTTTATAACAATTTTTTTTTCTTTTCATTATATCATGTTTTATTATATATTTCTTTGTACTGTCTCTTCTTTTCTGTATCTCTATCATATACATGTGGTAGAAAAATGAAGGATATGTAAATTTCTCTTTAATTCACTGGCACTGCTAGTTTTGGAAACACATAAAGACCCGTTGGTCTCTCTCTCGTCATACATATATTGATGCTAAAGACATCATGAGTTATTGATACTTTATTCCCTTTGGAACTTCCACATGCTAATGTATTAAATGTTCAAAGCGACACAATTCATTTAAAGAAAAAATCTGACATATATCTCTCTTTTTTCTTCTTCCTAGAAGGTTTTATTACCTTGAACTTTTACAAAATTTTCATCTGACAAATCAGGATCAGAAAATGTAGTCAAGAGGACCAAGTAAGATCCCATGCTTAATGGTAAGTTTTCGAAGAAGAAAAGAATACCTGTCTTCCCCCACAAGGCACTTAATATTGAGTTCCAAACCAGACAACTCATGCAAAGTATATTTAACCTTGCTTTTCCTAGGTTTCTTCCCTTTCAAATAAGCACCAACCACTGATTATTAGTTTGATAACAAAGCATTGCTAATAAAAGGGGAGTTAGATATCAGAAAATTCTTTCATTAGAATGGAAACTTTGATGAAGCAGATAAGGTTAGCCATTCATGCTTTCACCCTGTAGAAATGTTGGACGGTAGAGTAGCATCAAACATGCATCATTTAGTGTAATTTCCATACCACTCATAATTTGGATGAACGTATCATGTTAATTACTTCTTAATAAAGAAAAAAGGCTTTTGTTTCTTCTTAATTATATCATGCATTTGTGCTTATAAGATAGGTTTTATTAATGTTATCAAGGCTAGTTTGCAATATTAGAATATGAATCATTTTGTGAACCTAGTGCCTGATCAAGAATTTCATTGATATTAGTATGTAATCCAGAAGGGTTATACATTAAATTATATTAATATCTATTCTGCATACTAGAGTTCTTCATCCATATGCATACTATGACTGGTTAAAGTAGTGTTTTGTTCCATAAATATTTTTTATGGGCTGAAAACTTTTTCTAGAGTGAAATTAACTGGTGCAGAGGAGGAGAAAAAAGCTGATCTGGGTGGTAGCAGGGATCAGAAAGTTACAACAAAGAAAACTCCATCCTTCAAAGGTGATGTAATTTTTCCCTCGCAGGGTTTGTTAATTTTGAGCATTAGGCAAGAAAGAATGTCATGGTGAAGATACAAAAAGGAAAGGAAGGACTAAGAGTTTGGGATATTGTGCCATCTATAACTGAATGAAATTATTCACATGTCTCCGTTTATGGTCCCTTTACTTCTCCTCCTCCTCCCAACAAAAATAGAATAGTTAAAAAGTAATATTATCTCTTAATTGTTAAATTTTTTAAGTTGAAGTGTTGTTTTTTAATTAGAAGAACAGGAAATGCTACATATAATTAGAACTGAGTGATTTAATTCCATCTTTTGTTAACGAAGTTAATGGACAAAAGAGGGAGCTATAAAATAAATAACAAATTGAAGCTTTTCTATATTTGAGACCAAAGATTTGTTTCTTGATGATAAAAGGGGTGAAGGGAAATTCTTACATCCTCAAAGAAGGATAACACTGCTCCAATTTATATCTTTTGGAAAACTTTTGAGACATGTGATACTCATTAAGTTCTGCATAAATCATACCGTTATCCTCCTCCTTTGATGAAGAATCTTGAAGAAATTATCACTTGTTTTTTGAGGGTGACAAAATTATGTTCATTCTATATTTTTCTGATTTTTTGGGGGGTTACATTCTAATTTTATGATTAGTGTTTTGACATTTTTGTCTATCCTTAAAAAAACAAAACTTAACTGTTCATTTACATATTTTATGTGACAAAGTTTTGAGACATTTAAAACCTTTTATTAATAATTTAAATATGTAAAGTATTCGATAAAAACAACACTTTTTAAAGTGAAGCATATAATTTATAAAAAGGAGCATATAAGAATGTTTTTATGAGAGCATATAAGAATTTCTTTCACTGGAGTTTGAAAGAAAAGTATTCATTTTCTTTCAAACTTTTTTGGCTGATAATGAATTTAGCAATCCGTTAATTAACAAACTCTAGTGAAATTTTCTACAGATAAGAAAAAGGTCCAGAGTTGGTTTCAGAGACAATTTTCAAGAAGCATGAGTCATGATTACGACTCATTAGAAATGGAGCATGCCACAGCAGTAGCTGCTGCAACATTTGCAATTTTTTCACAGGAGATTTCACAAATTCCGCAACAAAAGAAAACGAGGGATAATCCAGCTTTGAACAAGGCCAAAAGCAAGGTGGATGACACAAAACCTCCAATTTTTCAGTTTGGTGGTACATCCAAGCGATTCTCAGGTAACTGAAGGAGCAAATAATAGTATATTACCCTGATATTGCATGATCATTAAACACTTAATTGAAATTTTTGTTAATTTTTGCAATAATTGTATTAAATATCTTATTTATAATATTTTTTTTTATGAAATCTAGATATACAGAAATTTACATCATAGTGCATAGAAATTAAAGTGTGACATGAACACAAAACTGAGTCATAATTTATACTACTTTTCTTTGACACATGACACATTTATGGTGAATTATATTGCATCTGCATCACATGCAGGCTCATTTAAACCCATCAATGACCAAGGTAACAAGGCTACTGAGGACTTAAAGAGGCCTGAAAAAGCCTTTTACCCTGGACCATCGATGAGAAGGAGTTCAACTTTTGATGAAAAGTCAAAGAGCACCACAGATAATAGAAAACCTGTGATCCTTGGCCCAAAGAGGACTCCAACTTTTGGTGATGACCACTTGGTGAACACTGATGAAATACAACCTGAGACCCCACAACCAAAAGTTCCTCCACCAGTTCACCAGCCTGTGTCCTTAAGGCCGCTGCCGCCACCACCACCGCCGCCGCCGATCAGGCAGAGTTCAGCTTCAGTGAGAGCAGGTGCCAGAGAAACAAAAGCAGATGCTTGGGAGAGGGAGGAGCTGGAAAAGATCAAAGAAAGGTATATACTTATCACTATAGGATGGACATAGTTTGAAAAAACCAAACCATTATATATAATGATTTGTCTTTTAAAAACCAAACCATGTATTTCTATAAAACAGTTTAGACCAACCAGTTTAAAACTAATTTCTAAATTCAAATGATGTGATTTGGTTCATTTGGTTATTTTGCACAATCTCATTTACGAATTGTTTTGCGTTGATATTCTAGCAAATAAACCATTCTTAATGAGGATTTCGAGTACTTTCTGAATTCAAATCACTTGTATCCTTTATATCTGTTTTCTCTGATGCAAAATGAGTTTAATAGTCATATACTTTCACTGACAGATCTCTTAAGTAGTTTTACTCCTCAAAAATGAGTTTTATATCTCAATAAAAGAACTTAATAAATATGACAGAAAAAATTCTTTTTCAATCATATGCATGTCATTTTTCTATTGGAGACATGAAACTATATAAGATTATTTCTATGGTACTAACTGGATTCTTTCACGCAATGCTTAATTTTCAGGTATGAGAATTTGTTAGAAACAATAGATTCGTGGGAAAAGAGGAAGCAGATGAAAGCAAGACGCAAGCTAAATAAGTATGAGGTGAGGTTTCAACAATTAATAGATACATGCTTAATCAAAATTATGTGTGTATATGTAGTGCTTACAGAGTTACAGTTTAATTTTCACATGTAAATATAACTAATTGGAAACCATATTAGATGACTAAATATGATTTTTGAGTTCAATTACAAATTGCTATTAGTATGATTTTTAAAATTGTTATTGCAAAAGCCAACAATCCTACTATACATAATAGTTTGTGATTGGATGACATTGTTTTACCCTGTTAGTGCATAATTTTTTTCTGATGATTTTAAAGTAGTCATTACAAAAGTTGTAGTTTCAATGTTTCATCATGTGCACTTCAATTAAATTCTAATTATTATTAATTTATGAAAATGTAGCAAAGTGAAAGTCAGAAGAAAAGGGAGAAAGGGTTGAAGAAATATCAAGATAAGATGAGCTATATAAATCAGATTGCAGGTGGAGCAAGAGCTCAAGCAGAGGAAAGACGAAGGAATGAAGTGTTCAAAGCAAAAGAGAAGGCAAATATAATTAGAACAACAGGCAAGATTCCAGGGCCATGTTCCTGCTTCTAATAACAACAATTATATACGTACATATTACATAACATCACTGAGTTTGGACATAACAAATACAGATATGTAACTACTTGTTTCACAATTCTATGATTTCTAACTGTACAGCTCTCAGTTCTCATTTGTAGTGGGATGATTTTCCATTATACCTTAAAAAAAAAATTAAAAAAAAAAAGGAGGGGAGATCAGATTCTGTAAAACAGAACACATATGGGTTAACTTTGTTGTAAATTAGTTTCAGTTTTCTTGCTTTCAGAGTTTGATAACCTTTACCAAACTTTATTTCATAATGTAACAAATTGAACCCTTTATCTTCGCATGAATAGTTATAAATTTTAAATTATGGCATAGTTCATATTATATATTTTAATATAATTAATATCATTATAAATATAACATCACAGCATACAAAATATTACAGTATCTATTAATTTAAAATTTATTATTAATATATAATTATTCAAAAACCATTTGTGACCTGTTGTGAAAGAATATATAATATAAAATACCAAATTGGGTTGGAATATTCCGAAGTATATTTTGAACCATCCTCGGTCTACTTTTTAAAATCCTAGCATTTAATCATCCTTGAGTTGGGCCAAGACTAGCGAAATGAGACAAATATTGCACACCCCCAGTTTATATAGCCATCTATTTTAGTTAAAATAAAATAGTGCACTATTTTAAAAAAGTATAATGAAGGTTTTGGTTAATTGATTTAGAATAACATGTTTAAATACATGTTTAGAAGTTTTTTTAAATTTTTTCTTATTTAAAATAACTCTTTATTTTTTATATTAGATTTTACACATTAAATTTAAATAATTCATAAATAATTCATCGATTGAAATTGTATTAACATGATTGAATAAAACAAATATATCAAGTTTAATAATCTCATATTTGACTCAACTTGACTAAATAAAAAATACTTGATGTAATTTGATGAACGTGTTTTATATAATAATTTTGACAACATGATTTTAATTTTTTTTAATTTTTAAAATTATATTTTTTTTCCTATTATTCATTTTCATTTTAATAGTATATTAAGAAGTAGATCTTGGATCTAACTCAATTTTATAAAATTAACTTATAATGTAAAAAAAAAAAAAAAATTCCCTACTAGTATGTCGTAATATTATCATCTCATTAGTTGATGTGAAATCTTTAATACGCTCTCCTGGCACCGAAGACTACATATCTAATTGATATGATAGTGAGTGATCCTAATAGACTTAACAACAATCAGTAATATCATTAAAATAAATTTTGATACCATATTAAGAAATTGGTTTTGATCTAACTCAATTTTAAAAAAAATTTACTAAATAAAAATTACTATCACCTTATGTACTATCCGTACTGCAAAGCCGAGCTCCCAGCTCGACATCACAGCGCATGACGACCTCGGATACGCGCTACGTGACGTCAGCTCGTCACTTAACCAGATCATAACTGATCTGAGGAGATCTCGGTCCAGACGAGATCCACTATCTAATTAGATTAGAACTGATCTTAGGCCCAAGGCCCAACGCAACCCTAATCCATACTAAGGTACGTGCATTACTTACACGAGACAACTACTCATACAAACCCTAACTTTAGCATCAGAGTCTCTTTTGCAAGTACCACCCCCATCTTGGAACACCAACGTACCAGCGAAGGAGGCTCACCAATCTTACTCGGTAGATCATCTCTACAGTAGATTTCCGGTAAGAACATTTGGCGCCCATCGTGGGGTCGATCAAGACAGCTCTTATCGGCCACGCTTATGGTATTCACCAGAAGCCATAGTAGACGCGCAACAGACGACGTAAATCACTCAACTACCATGGATAACGAAGCAACATTGAGGGGACTAATCGACCAAGTCGAACAGATGCGGCAGCAACACGCCGCCGACCTACAAAGCATGCGTGCCAAGCACAACACTGACCTAGCGGCAATGCGTACCGCTAATGAAGCCGACCTGGCGGCGCTACGCGCCGAGAACGAGCGAATTCGTGCTCAACTCCCTCGGCGCCACTTTGATCATCCTCCTCATACCAGCAACCACGACGAGGAAGAGGAACATTCAGTCTCTCAACCCCGGACCGCAATTAGGGCACCAACTCAACGACCTGCCACGCACCGGTCTCAGGCACCGACGCGTAAGTCGGCCCATGAAGTCAGCAAGGCCCCTACTCACGACGCAGGGGATCAGACAACCTTCCGCCGCCACCCTTTTGTGGATGGCATCATGGAGACGCCACTCCCTCACGGGGGGAAGCCTCTCCACCTCGATCGCTATGATGACACGACGGACCCAGACGAGCACATTGACCTGTATACGACACAGGTAAACCTCTACACCAACAATGACATTATTTTGTGTAGGGTCTTTCCGACCTCACTCAAGGGGGCCGCGCTCAACTGGTACACCCAACTGCCTGTCGAATCCATTGACAGCTTCGGCACCCTAGTCAGAAGGTTCACAGCACAGTATGCGCCGAGCCGACCTCACTATCTCACTTCTGCCGCCCTGGCCAGTCTCAGACAGAACGATGACGAGCCACTCCGGGCGTTCATGGAACGATTTGCCGCTACCTCGATTAAGATCAGAAATCTGAACCTCGAGGTCGCCTTGCATGTCATGCTCATGGCACTCAAGCCCGAACCATTCGTCGATAGCCTATGTCGTGAGTCTCCTTGCGACATGGACGAGCTCCGCGCTCGTGCTGCGGGCTACATCCAGATGGAGGAGCATTCCGCTTTCCGTGACCAGGTTTGCGGAAAATCACAAGTAAAACCTAACAGTGACCACAAACACAAGATGAAAGTCACCAACGACAGCCAATTCAAGAAGTCGACTAAGGCAAACAGAGGGGGGAGATACGACTTCTATACTCCCCTGAACGCGCCCCGAGTGTAGATCCTGGAGGAGGCCAGTAACAACAACCTGCTCACCCTGCCACCGCTAGGTCACACCCCAACAGTGCCGATCAATCCAAGCACTGTCGGTACCACAAGAATCACGGTCACACCACTGAGGAGTGTCGCACACTCCGAGACCATATTGAAGAGCTCATTCAAGCAGGCCACCTCGCCCAATATGTCCAGCGACAGTAGGGTCACCGAGGGGGCTACGGTGGACGAGGACGAGGCAGAGGTCGTGGTTCGGGAGCTCGCACGGACCAACCCTCTAGCCCTCAACAAAATGCTGGCGGAGCAGTGCAAGCAGAAATAAGCCAGGAAACAGGGTCAGCTCCCCTACGGGGAGTAATCAATACAATTGCAGGTGGTTTCGCAGGGGGAGGCGCTAGTAGCACGGCCTGGAAGAAACACCTGCGCAACATCAACAGCGTCCACCCCGCTACCTCGGCATCACACCAGAGCTCACCGCTGATCTCCTTCTCCGACGAGGACTACGCTGGGGTCAGCCCCAACCAAGATGACCCCATGGTCATTATCGTAGAAGTAGCCAACCGGGAAGTTCAGAAGACACTTATAGACCAAGGGAGTTCGGCCGACGTCCTGTATTGGCCAACGTTCCTCAGGTTAGACGTCCCTCATTCTCTCATCCAACCCCACACAGAGCCCCTAGTCGATTTTGCAGGAGAGTGAGTGCACACCTGGGGATACGTGGACCTACTGACCACCTTCGGAACCTCCCCGAATACATGGAGAATCATGGTTCGATACCTCCATGTGGAGGCCAACACCTCCTATAACATCATCATTGGGAGGCCGACGTTGAATTAGCTCGGAGCAGTGGTGTCCACTCCGCACCTCGCCATGAAGTTCCCAGGAAGTGACGGGAAAATCATCACCGTCAAAGCAAATCAGAAGACGGCTCGGTAGTGCTACACCGAGAGTCTAAAGATCTCCTCATCCAGCAAGCAAAGTAAGAAGGATCCCCCCACGTGGCTCACATCACCCACGTGGAGGCCACTGACCTCGGCCCGGGGACCAAGTCCCGCTAGCGAGGTCGGAGACAAGGCTCAGGAAGCCCGCGCTCTCCGACTGCAAGAACACGACGGAAAACAATACCGCGAATTCGGAACGCTACGCATCTCAAGTCCTATTTCAGTTAATCTTGTATGAATGAGTTGTGCACTTTTTTCCCGCCTCAGTCTTTTATCCCAAAAAATGAAAAATGGGTTGTGGCTGAGAGGGTTTTTAACGAGGCACACTTACATAATCAATAAAATGATTCATTCAGTTCAACTTATATTTTTAGTCCTGTATCATTTCACGCTTCACGCTAGATCGAGGTCGAGTACGAACCTCGACATGACCAGACCGAGGTCGAGTACGGACCTCGGCATGACCAAGGTCGAGTACGAACCTTTACAACAGTTAAGTAACAAAAGCTCGAGGTCGAGTACGAACCTCGGCATGACCAGATCGAGGTCGAGTACGAACCTCGAGATGACCAGACCGAGGTCGAGTACGAACCTCGGCATGACCAAGGTCGAGTACGAACCTTTACAACAGTTAAGTAACAAAAGCCCGAGGTCGAGTACGAACCTCGGCATGACCGGATCAAGGTCGAGTACGAACCTTTACAAGAGTTAAGTAACAAAAGCCCGAGGTCGAGTACGAACCTCGGCATGACCAGATCAAGGTCGAGTATGAACCTTTATAAGAGTTAAGTAACAAAAGCCCGAGGTTGAGTACGAACCTCGGCATGACCAAGGTTGAGTACGAACCTTTACAAGAGTTAAGTAACAAAAGCCCGAGGTCGAGTACGAACCTCAGCATGACCAAATCAAGGCCGCGTACGAACCTTTACAAGAAGTAACGAAAAATCGAGGTCGAGTTCGAACCTCGACAAGATCAACTCAAGGTAGAGTATCACCAAGTATAAAAGTATACAACAGACATCGAACACGTGTCTCACAACGCAAACAGCAAAAATACAGCCTAAACGCAAAGGCAAAGGAAAGCGCAAATGCAAATAGACAAAGAAAAATAAACAAATACAAGCAAGAGTTTCAGAGTTCTACACTTGAATTCCAAACAAAAAAATAACACAGAAAAACATTAACTAAGCTACGACAAAACTGGCCTACGCAGAGGCGTTCTCACTGGAGCTGTCCTCGAGGTCATCCTCCTTTACCAGCTTCCCAAAGTGGACCACTTTCTCCACGTGCATGGCAGAGAAGTCGAACCCCGGGGAAAGAAGCATCGCCTGGCGAGCCGCCTTGAGGAAACCCCGTTTGTGTTCAACCACGATAGCTCGTTTGGTTTCCTCCAGCTTCTTCTTCAGCTCCTGCTTTGCCAGCTCCACTTTCAAGGCGGCGACCTCCTCCTCTTTACTACCAAGCACGACCTCGTCGCAGAGGCGCCTTTTCAAGGAAAAAACTGTGACGGCCCAACGAGGCCAAAGCGAACAATACCTCAGATATGGTGATCCTAACGATGACAGCGGACTTACGATAGGAACATTGGCGCTAGAAGAAGGAGGCGTTTCTCAGCCGCCGTCACCAGCTCACTCTTTAGGGAGGTTACTTCATCCTCCAAGGAGCGAACCCGACCACGGGAAGACATCTCCTTATCTTCAAGGGGGCGCACCCGACTTCGGGACGAGGCGGCAAGCCCTTGCAGCTCACCCACCTGGGAGGCGTAGTTCTCGTTCAAGCACAAAGCAATCTCCAGCGACTTCTGCACCCTCGCAAGATCCCCCCTCGCGGCTCCCAGCTCGGCACCCTGCAATTTTGCTTCACCGAGAGCAGCGCTAAGGACCTTGTTCTCCTCCCTCAGGACCTTATTTTCGTCCCTCAGGGGTCGAACTCGGCCCCTCAGTCTAACCAGATCCTCTTGCTGCTTAGACCACCTATGCTTCCAGTGGTCCATAATGGTCGTAGCCCTCTGTAGAAGGACCTGAGCAACATCAAAGCTCTCCACGGGCCCGGCCTCCTCGATCATCTCTTGATCCTCCGAGCTTAGTGAGCCCTTGGGGAAAAACCTCTCGGCAATCACCCCCGCACTCCACAGTGAATTCATGTCGGCGGAGGCACTCACATGGTCCAGGCACACATCAGAGCGGTCCTTCCCGAAGTGGTGAGCAATATATCGGCCCTGGGAGGCCCCCTGTGATGGACCTGACGACGGCACAAAGGCTGCAGGCGTCGCCATAGGGACCTCGGAACCTGGCCCCTTACCCTGAACCTCGGCAGTAGCAGAGGCGGCAGCCGACATCCCCTGCTCAGCAACAGGGACACCTGCCTCGGGCATCACCGAGCCCGGGGCCGCCGGGGTCTCAACAGCATCCCCCACCTACAAAAGGACAGCATGTTAGAGGACAAAAGAACAACATACAGGAAAACACGAAAATTGGGGTACTCACCATGGCGGCCTGGGCGACCTGCTCAGCAACCTGAACCTCCCCCTCGGTAGCTACCCCCGCCTGCAAAGAACCACATCGCATCAATAAACCAAGCAAAATCAATACAAAAGAAAAATTACAGAAAACAAGACACTTACCTTGGTGGAGGGAGCAACTTGCTCAGCAGCCGGGGTCACCACCTCGGCAGCCTGAGCAACAGACTCAGCGACCCGAGCCATCTCCTCAGCGGCCACTTGAGGAGTCTCCTTGGGCGCTGGACTCGCAGTAAGGTCCACCGCACCAGCATCAGCAGCCTTGGAGGTCACCTCCTCGGCGTCTAGAGGGCCAGAGGTCCCCCCGACCTCCTTCTCTCCCCTCTTTCTTTTTCGATTGACTTTCAGGGGGGAAACATCCTCCTCTTGAGGCTCAGGGACCACGAGCTCGGTAACGTTGTAGCGATGCTTTAGCTCACGCCACAAGTTCTTCCCCATGATGCCTGCAGACAGGAAATAAACCTCATCAGCGAAGAAAAATTACACAAACTCTAACAAGCTACCGAAAGACAAAGTACTCACTCTCCAAGCCCCTCTCCCTGTACGCCGAGTTCGCAAGCAACAGAACGAGCTTGCAATCCAGCGGACGAGGAAGCGTAGAAATATTCTCAATGGCGGCCGCCTCCGAAGCCGTCAATTGCAAGTGGTCCACCCCGTGAAACCTAGACAGTTTGGGGCACCAATAGAAAGGGAACTTCGGCAACCCGCCGAAGTAGAAACCCCCATCCTCTAAAGGGTCGACATCCACAAGGGCAACCCGAAAAAACTCTTGCTTAAAGTTTTTATATGATTAGGCGTAAAGGGTAAATAAACCCCATCCCTATTCCCACTCAGCGACAGCACGCCGTAAGGCGAAAAACCTATTTTCAACTGGTAGAAGTGAAGAAAAACACGAAGGGACACCTCTATCCCTAGGACTGTACAGGACTTGAAACGCCCTCAAAAAACCCCAGCTATTGGGGTGCAGCTGGCAAGGAGCCGCGTTGATGTAATTCAAAAAACCCCACTCAAACGGAGTGAAAGGAAGACAGACGCCCAGGTCCCTAAAGAGACACTGGTAGACATAAAAATGGGGAGGGTCAGTAGACCTCCCCATGTACACACCCTCACCGGTCGGGCATGGTTTGAGCCGGATCATCCGGGAAATGGAAGGGTCACATATTCGGTGCGTTCTCAAAACCGCGTTGACCTCCAGAAACGATCTGAACACACTTTGGACCCCCCCCCCATTTCGTGCTTGACCCAGTCGTAGCCAGGCACCCAGTCGTAGCCAGGGATGCCTGGCTCCAGGTCCTTGGGCAGAGGTGGGTCCTTCTTCTTGACAGCAGCCTTCCCGGTAGCCATTGCCTTGCCGCGCGCCTTGCCCCTGGCAGGCGCAGAAGAACCGACACCACTTCCACCAGCCATTAAAGAAACAGGAAGACTCGAAGAAGATTTGGGAAGAAGAAAAAAGAAAACTGTAGAAAGGAAGTACCTGGTACTCCTCCTCAGAAAACAACCCTAATAATGACGGGGTTACCGGAAACGGCGATGGAAACTGTGAAAACGGAGACGGAGAACGAACGAAAACGAGAAGGCAAAGAGAACTATCGTACTGAGAAAGCCAAAGAGCGAAAAAAGAGTAAAGTGAAAAGAGGAAGAGGCGCGAGGGAGAGAAAAGGTTTTCTCCCAAATTCAAAACGGTCACGCCATGCGTCAGCCAAGGGGCACGTCTGACGACACATTAATGAAGAACCATTATGACAAACACAAACCATCATTACACAGCCGTCACTCCCATCAGCGCGCCACTTGCTCGTTTTCGGAAGTAACCGGTTATGACACGTGGCATCTCAGCAAACAGACCCCTCCAAAGGAAAATTTGGAACTTGGAATTCCACCCACCTCAAATTTTATTTCTCTTAACTTGTAAATTCAGGTGATGTACTCTTTTTCCTCCTCAGCCTTTTTTTTCCCACTAAAGAAAAGGGTTTTTGGCCAAGGAAGGTTTTAACGAGGCACACCT